AGCATTATGCTTCACTTGCGGTGCTCCGCGGATCCCATTTCCCCTGGGCCCCCGATGTTAAGTATTAATGTAGATTTAACCCCAGGTAATGAATGGATCCATCGTTTTTCCCCACACGGGAAATTGGACCCGCGCAACACAAAAATAGGATCCACGAAACTCGCCCACACCCGAATCAGGGATCCAATTGGATCCATTGATGTTCTCATATTTTTCAGCCCAAGAGGAAAACAAACATCGGCCTGGGGATGAAGGGTGTAGCACAAAATGTTGGCGGGGGAGACGCCATTCGAAATCCCACTGAAGGGTTTAGCACAAAGTGTTGGCGGGGGGGACGCAGTTCGAAATCCCAAAGGATTTAGCACAAAGTGTTGGCGGGGGGGCTGCAGTTCGAAATCCCACTGAAGGGTTTAGCACAAAGTGTTGGCGGGGAGGCGCAGTTCGAAATACCACTTACGCGGGCCGAAAGATTTTCCCCTTGAGCCCCACATGTCGGAAGCGACGCGCCGATCCCCTCTGTTCTCCTCCCACCTCCTCTTGCCTCTTTCCTCACCCTTCCCCTCTTCATCCTGGGAAGACCCCCCTCCCCCGTAGAATCATAGCATTGGTCTGCAAATCCACAGCTCCGTGGATAGCATGATGCTTCACTTGCGGTGCTCCGCGGATCCCATTTCCCCTGGGTCCCCGATGTTAAGTACTATTGTATATTTATTCCCGGGACATAAATTGATCCATCGTTTCACACAAAGGAAGTTGGATCCGCGCAACACAGAAATAGGATCCACGAAACCCTCCAACACCCGAAAAGGAATCCAATTGGATCCATTGATGTTCTCATTCTTTAGATCAAGAAGGACAAACTTTCGGTCTGGGGATGTATGGTTGTCACCGTAATCACCATCACTGTCATCAGAGTCAGCATCAGCATCATCAGCGTAATCAGCATCAGCATTATCGCCGACATCATTATGAGCATCGTCGCCATCATCATCATCATCATCATCATCATCATCATCATCAACATCGCCAGCATCATTATCATAATCAGCATCACAATCAGCATCAGCACCATCACCAGCATCAGCGTCATCAGCATCATCGTCACAATCATCATCGTGGTCGTCAGCAGCATCATCATCATACTCAGCATCATCGGCATCGTAATCATCATCACTGCCATAAACGCCATTGTCATCATCGTCGTCATCATCATCACCATTGCAATCACCATCATCATAATCGTCGCCGTCAGCATCACCACACTCATCATCATCATCATCATCATCATCATCATCATCATCATCATCGTCCTCAACATCATCATCAACATCGTAGCCATCGTTACCGTCAATATCATCATCATACTCATCATCGTCACCATCATCATAACCATCATCAGCACCATCATCATCATCGGTCGACATCATCATCGTCATCACCATCATAGTCGTCGTCAACATCAACATGATCATCACCGGCATCATAAACAGCACCTCCGTGACCATCATCATCATCGTAGTCATACTCATCATCAGCGACGTCATCATTATAGTCCACATCGTCGTGGTATTAGCCATCATGAACGCCATCATCATAATCATCACCAGCATCATCACCGACGCCGTTATCATCATCATCATCACTGTCGCCGTCGTCGTCGGCAACAGCATCATGATCGTCATCGTCATCATCATCGTCATCATCATCGTCGTCGCCATCATCATCATCGTCATCATTCGCGTCATCATTATCATCGCCATCATCACCAGCATCATCGTACTCATTACCATCACCATTGCACCATTACAGTCATCGTCACTATCATCACCATCACCATTAGCATCATCGTCATTACCATCAGCATTGCAGTCATGATCGTGATCATCATCGTATTCAGCATCGTCGTCAGCATCATCATCGCAGTCAACCACGTCAACTTCGTGATTACCATCATCGTCATGATCATCATCGTCGTCCTCGTCATCATCACCATCGTCATGGTCGTCGTCGTCATCATCATCGTCATCATCGTCGTCATCGTCATCATCATAGTCGTCATCACCATCATCCCCAACATCGTCTCCATCATCGTCGTCATCAGAATTAACATCATCATCGTCGTCACCATCATCATCGTCTGAATGATTCATGCTCATCGTCGTCATCTTCATCGTCGTCGTTATCATCATGGTCGTCGTCGACGTAATTGCCATCGTCGCCATCATCAGCGTCGTCATTATCAGTATTGTCGTCATCACCATCATCATAAACGTCGTCGTCGTCATCACCATCATCGTCATCATCGTCGTCATCATCATCGTCGTCATCATCGTCGTCATCATCGTCGTCATCATCATCATCACCGTCGCCGTCATTATCATCGTCGTCGTTGTCATCATCAGTCTAATCGTCGTCATCATAATCGTCGTCGTCATCATTGTCGTCATTATCATCGTCGCCTTCATCGATGTCGTCGTCATCATCAGCGTCATCATCATCA